GGCTGAGCTGGCGGCGTGCATGTACCGGGAGGCAGGATGGCTGCTGGCCTTGTCGTCCTTCATGGTGAGGGAAAAGGAGGAGGAGGATTGATGGGTTAAAAGATCAGGCCCACTCCATCGTGGGTGGACCTTGAGACCACCGCGGGTGGCCGTCATCCCCGTAGTCAGCTGCGACACCCGCGCCATCCCATCGAGATCGGGAGCACATTTCATGGTGGGAAATGAACGAATTGGGACTTTGTAATTTGAAACCATTAAAGCCCTGGCAGATGAACTAGTGCATGCGAGAGACCTGTATGGCTCTTAGGGCTTCATCGCCCTACGAATGCGCGCGAATAGGCAGAGTTCAGTGGATTTGAATCGCTCTCGATGGTAATTTTAACACGAACTTGATCAAAGAAGTCAAAAAAGTGGACGACGGATCGGGAGAAGCTTTCTTCGATTTGAGTTCAGAGTCTTCCGTGATCAATAAGTACACGGGTTGAGACGTTGACTCGGGAGTTCCACCACACCAGTTGAACGGTCAACAAGGTGTGAGAGTCTGTCTGAGCACGAGGGTCAAGAATTTCTCGAGAGCTGTATCGGCAATCCCAGGAAGATCAGCCAGCGTCCAGTTTATTCTGGGGGCCATGGAGTTATCCGTACTGCCGCGGCATGCGAATTTTGTTGGCTCACCGTATCTCTCTCGGAATACCGTCATCGCATCCTCAACAACCTCATGTCAGGAGTCATGAAAAAAGAAATTCAACCTTCCTTGTTCAAAACGAAGAATCGAAGCCTCGCTGGACCTTGCTGTGGACGCCACCAGCGGTAAGGATGCCTCTACACGTGGATGCTGACCACGCCTATACATTATCGACTAATCTACTTTTCCGTTAGTTGAGTTCGAAGCAATCTAATCAACCAACCAACACGAGCCCAGTTCGAAAGCAGGAATCCAACCAACTCACCCCCACAGCCCCCACGCCTTCGCACCGTTACCAACTCCGCGACGCCCTCGAGGACTGCGAATACCGCACCGGTTTCAGCTTCTGACCACCCTTCGGCTTCCCACCACCCTTCTCAACCCCCACTCCCCCCTTCCAAGGCACCGACTTCACCTTTTCCCACCCACCTTTCCCCTTCCACCCGCCTTTCCCCTTCCACCCGCCTTTCCCCTTCCACCCGCCTTTCCCCTTCCACCCGCCTTTCCCCTTCCACCCTCGGGCCTGCTCCTCCTCCTCCGATGACGGCTCCGAATCCCTCTCCCACAGCCCAGGATTACTCGCGCGCAGCTCCTCCTCCCACGGCGTAACCACGCCCTCATCCAACCCACGCTCCGCCCCCTTGACGAACCCCCACCCCGCCTCATCCGTGCTGGGGGCGCGCTCTTCCGTGGGCCTCGACGTGCCCTTGTCCCTCTTCAACCCAAAGTCCGTCCTGAAAGTCTCCTCACCGGGATCGGAAGCCAAAGTCGAGCTCGAACCATCGTTTGCCACCGCCGCCGTCGTCGTCTCTTCTGAATTTGAATTGGGAGTACTCCCCATCCCAATGTACGGATTCTGCTCCAAGAACCCCCACGACGCCACACTCTGGTCGTACGCCTGCCGCTCGACGACGTAGCCCGTCGCACGCAGCTCCATCTGCGCCGCCGCCTGCCGGGCGCGGACGTCCGGATGCACGATCACCGTCGGCGTCACCTTCGGTGTGCGAGGAGTTGTTGACGTTGACGCTGAACGAGCGGCGAGGTCCTGCGCCCCACTCTGGTGCTGGTCATCACTTGACATCTCCACTGCCAGCGCCGCCTCCCGCGCACGGGCCTTTAGCACGCGCTCGCGAGCTCGGGCCGAAGCATACAGTACTGTGCTCGGGACGGGGGGTTTGTCGCTCGAGCTCGGGGGCGCCGTAGCCGTAGCCGTAGTCGGAGGTCTCACCCACGGCGGGGCAACCGGTTTCCCAGTGTAAGTCATCGGGAATGGCGGCGCCGACCCCGACCCCGACCCCGGCTGCGTGGGCGAGGGCGAGTCAGCCGTAGCCGTAGCGGTATCCGTACTCGAGCTCTCCGACTGCGTGCTCGAGGGCGAGGACGCCGTAGTCGCCGTACTCTCGCTCGAGCTCGAGCTCAAACTCGAACCCGCCACCCACGGCGGCACCTCCGGACTCGCGAGCGGCACCCAAAGCGCAACAGGCGGCACTTCAATCGAACTGCCGCTCCACACGGGCGACGCACCGCCATACGTAACCGGAAACGCGCTCGGCGGGTCTATGTTCGGGAACGTCGACGAGGGTCGGCCTCTGTGCGGGAAACGGGGCCGGGGCGGTGTCACTGACGGATCCGTACTCGAGCTCGAACTCGCCCCCCACGGCAGAGGCCACGGCGGCACATCCGGGCGCGGCGTGTACGTGACCGGGAACGTCGATCGTGTTCGTGGTTGGTTTTCGGTTTGAGCTCGACTCTGCATGTGGGGTTGTGTCAGCCCCCGCACCGGCCCACGGCCCCCCTCCGCGTCCTCCTCACTCAAAGCAACCTCCTTCCCGTTGATAATCGTCCCTTCCTTCTTCGCGGCCATGACCTCGCGCGCATCCTCCGAGATCACGACGTTTTCGAGCGGGAAGCGCGCGTCGGACAAGAGCGGGGGCGGGGGGAAGTGTGTGGGGGGATGCAAGAGGCAGTGCAGGGCGGCGGAGTTGGCGGGGGGGCGGGCGTCCTGTGGGTGTGTGATCATGAGTAAGGATGTGGAAGGACGATGTGTGATTGAACTACGGAATCAAACGACTTTGGAAAGGACGAAAAGAGGAACGGAGGCGACGGCTGGTGAACTAAACGGCAAGCAGAAAGGGAGGAAGGGACGCGCCCAAAAGGGGGAAGGCGCGGCAACACGAAAAGGAACGAGTACAATAAGGGAAGGAAGTGAGGCAGAAAACGCCCACCGCCGCGAAACTACTCGAGCCGCGGCGAAAAGGTGTGTGTGCGAACACAGGAACAAAAAGAAGGGAAGGAGGGAAGGAAGGAGGAATCCAGGACGAAGTGCCAGCGAGGAGGGGTGGTTTATGGGAAAGAGAAGAGGAGAGCAAATAGAAACGGGTAGAGGATATGATAAACGAATGAAGCAGAAGGAAAATGGAGAAGAGGGTACTGCACAGAAGCGGTATGGACGGAGTGTCAAGGCCAAGGAAGCGCGGAGGCGCATTGGGAAGAGGGAAACAAAGGAAGCGGAAGAACCCAGTCCAAAAAATATTGGCACGCACGTCATAATACCAAACCCACGGCTCGCTAGGATCCGCTGGATTAGGGAGCAAGTCGCCCGCCTTGAGCGGGGGGAGGTGCTGATACTCGGGGGTGTACTGCGAGATGACGCGGGGGTCAAAGGGCTCGTCCAACCACGTGTTATGTGCGGGCAGCGTCTGGAGGATGCGCGCGTGGAGCGCCTCCTCGCCGCCCGGTAGGCGCTCCAGCCTTACCAGCACACAGCCTGCGCCCAGTTCGATTCAGCGTTTGTGTTAGGTAAAAGGGACATACGGAAGACGCACCGAAACGCGTCACGGCGGGATATATCTTCACCGCGATCTCTGCATGCGGGCCCGCGACCACGACGCGCATGCCCACGCTCAGGTCCGCGACGAACGGCTGGTCGATGTCATGCACCCACGCGGGGTGCAGCAGACGGTTCTTGCGCACGTCGTTGGTGTTGAGCAGTGCGCGCGCGGTGGAGAGCTGCTGCGGGGTGAGGAGGCCGTCGCGCACGAGCTGGGGCAGCCAGCGGACGTAGCGGTGGCTGGCGAGGAGGTGGGGGAGGTCGATGTCCCAGGGGAGGCCGGCGCGGTTGGGGAGGTCGTACCCCGCGGCGAAGGCGCCGGGGGAGTCGTCGGTGGTGCAGCGGAAGCGGAGGGAGGCGGAGAGGAAGGACGCGGGGTAGGGGAGGTGGTGGTATAGGAACCCTGTGAGGCGCGCGCGGGGGAGGACGTAGGATGGGTGAGCGGCGCGGAAGACGACGGCGGGGGTGGCGGCCGGTAAGTTGGGCAGGTCTAGCCGCAGGTGCTTGTTCGCCGTGATATTCAAAAACGACGCAGAGGTCAGCTTGCGCGGGTTGAATGTGAACACAGACCGCACAGAACTATGGCCGTCAACACACAACAAGGAGTGCGAGCAAGAAACACTCACTAAGACTGCGCACCCCTCATCCACGGCGAGCAAGACGGCGAGAGAAGAAAGAGCAGAGGACGGCAAAGGCCGGACACTGCCACTGATGGAACGTCAAAAAGTTCACCAGTCCCGCACATTTCAGATCGAGGGAATCGAACCCCCGACACTCACTGCAAATCGGTGAAGTACGTATTGAGTCTTGAGAGCGAGGGTGTATCGTACACCATATCCAATTTCTCCTTCCAATTCGATAGCTAACAACCCCCAAAGAGGACAATTGTTCGAAGCTGGAACAGCATAAGTAGTACTAGAGCATGCTGCAGCCCTGAGTCCGTGCTCAGAGAAAAAGGTGGATGTGGGGATGGTTCGGGGAAACCCTATACCTACTCCCCAAGACCTCGTCATTTGTAGTGGGAGCGCATGCAAGTATCATAAGTACATTACTGTACACCACATCCAGGTCTATCTGAACACTAACAGGGAAGGTAAACCCTTTTGGTGCGGCGTGTTCAAGTTAAACCGAAATGCGCACCATTGAGTCAAGACATCTAGGGTGACCGGAAAAGAGTGATGAAGGAAAAAAAAGATATAAAGTGCTTTTGGCTTTGCCAATCGGACACGGAGAGTCGAACCCCGAACACTCACTGAAACCGCCGGGTTCATTTTACTATCCATGTACCATACACAATATCCGATTCCTGGTCGGAGTTCTGGCCTGTTTGACCTGCTGCTTCTGAGAAAGGGTAGTTCAAGTTGAAGGTCAAGAGGCGTGCAGAGCTGTGGTGGCCTCTGGAGAGAGGAGGTAGCAGCCTCTGGCAAACATTCTCCTCGAACTGCGTCAAAAAAAAATGGAACTGTCATGAATCATCCTTCTTTATTCAGATGCAGGGAATCGAACCCTGTACTCCCTCATGTAGAACATGTCCGCCCTGTCAAATTCAGTGACAGAAGGCATGTACCATACACCACATCTGAGCTGTCTCTGATTGTTTTCAGACCCACTAACAATCACCTTTCAGATTCAACTGGGGGTGGAAGGACTCAACTCAAGGAACTCAAGGCAGGACCAAACTTCAATTTAGTGCCAATTCAAAGATTCGGGTGTGCCAATTTCCAGGGTCGAAACCATGTGCCAGGGTTGAAGTTGAGATTTGCCTGACATGAGTGCCATCGAATTAAGAGGTCTTTTACTCCCTGGCACAAAAGCGACAAAGAAAACGAACCATGCATCCATAACAATTGGAAATGAGGAGTCGAACCCCAAACTCTCACTAACCCATGGACAGTGTTACTATTATACATGAGGGTGATTCCTGGTAGAGGCACTGGGCTGAATAGGTGACAACATCTAGGGGACACTGAAAACAATGCAAGCATTTATTTGACATTGAATTATCCATAGGTGTGTGCAGTGTTGGAATAGCGGTGGGAGCTGGAGAGCGGAGATATCAGGCAGATTGACCATCCCCCTCCGACCTCGCTTGAAAAAACGAACTTGAATGGCTACCATCCGGATGCGGGGAATCGAACCCCATATTCCCTCGTAGAAATATTGGATAATCAGGAACTGCAGGGATAGAGGGTGTGTACCATACACCACATCCGGGTTCTCATTCTATATCTTTATCTCCACACACTGGAGAGGTCCAGGGGAACCTTCACCATTCTGATAGAGAAGCTTCGGAAGTTGAGAATTGAGATGAGCAACATCACATTGATCAAGACATTTTTAAGGACTGGAAAAGAGCGACAGATTTTGAGGAAGGAAAAAAGGGCCTTACCACCGAAATTTCCAATCAGACACCAGGAGTCGAACCTCGAGCACTCGCTGAACTGCAACACACATATTGGCCATTTAGGGCGAGGGTGTACCGTACACAATATCTGATTCCTAGCAAAGGTGCTGCCATAGATAGCTCACAACTTCTGGAACCCTGACAAAGTGTGCAGGCTGTTAATTAGTTCAAGTTGAACACAATGATCCATAGGGGCACGGTGTTGGAGAGAGCAGAGTTGATAACTTAGATAGATTTAGTATTTCCGTCGGACCTCGCACAAGAAAAAAATGGAAGGGCCATGCTCCATCCGGATGCGGGGAATCGAACCCCGTAGTCCCTCCTAGAAATATTTCATCAAACACGAACCACAGGGAAAGAGGGTGTGTACCATACACCACATCCGAATTATCATCTCCACCCACTGATGTTAGTTTTGAGGTAACACCCAGGAGAAATTTGAGCTCAGAATTACTGTAACACCAAGAGGCAGGAGTGCATAAAATGATTTGCATTCAGGTTGAACATCGAGCAACATGAGAGTAGTGACATGACACTGTAGTGTGAGGAAGAGGCTTCAATCTATCTGCAATAATCAGATACAGGGAGTCGGAGTCCAGGCTCTCGCTGAGCCCTGACACGGACGGACTATTGGGTCAATTTGCTCGATCCATAAGTAGAAACCTATACACGACCTATATGTTAGAACAGCTGCTAGATGTTGAAGACGCTACCAGAGCAAAAAGCTAACAAGTAAGTGTTCTTCTCTCTCAGTAGATGTTCCGAAAAGTCTCAAAAAAGACTTCCGAAGACCATATTCGGACCCGGGGAATTGAACCCCGTATTCCCTCATGTAGGATGGTGTGTTCAAAACCTAGTGACAGAAGGCGTGTACCATGCACCAGATCCGAGTCCTAATCAGTAATTCTCTCTCTCCCTACACACACCCATTTTCTCGATGACTAGCAGATTAGCCACATCAGAATCCGGTGTGTTGCAGCATGTTGAAGTGAAATCCAGTGGTTCAAGACATCTTTGGTGACTGAAAAAGAGCAAAGAAGAAAAGATGTCTTCCATCACGGACAATCAGACACAGGGAGTCTGAGAAGCCTGGGCAGTCACTTCCCCAATATACAGGATCCAGGGAGAGTGAGGGTTCCAATGCCTGGCAAGGGTGTAATGGTGGGAAGTCCTTCTGCAGATGGTGTAGAGCTAGTAACAGATCAAAGTCAAAACATCCCGGGTGTGCTCGCCTCTCTCGAGAGTTCTCAGCAGAAAACACAATGCAAAACAAAAAAAAACCCTTGGCTTTAGTCGCTCTTACTCGGACACAGGGAGTTGAACCCCAGACACTCGCTGAACTTCCAAGGGAAATCACAACAGAGAGTGAGGGTGCACTGTACACTATCTCCGATTCCTGATAGTAGTAGGTATTCTCAATTGCGTAAGGAAGTACCTTTTCTACCTTGGTGGTCTGAGACATGCAGTCTACTCTTCAAAAGATGTTGAAACATGGACCACCTGGGAAAGAACGGAGGTTCAACCAACACGGTTACACATGCTGAAAATATTCTTTCACCCAATTGCTTGACACCACCAGGCTCCTGAGGTTTTCCTCGTGTAAAAAAGCGAATATTCTGATTGCTTTTGGAGTGATTCAGTTTCGAATCATATTCATGGTGGATCATGTGACCCAGCGCGTTCAGAATCTAGGACCAAGCCATGCCACACAAGGGACCAAGCCATGCCACACAAGGGAGCAAAATCTGTCTACCTAGATAGTCCCACTACACACGTCTTGAAAGTGTCCACAATTGAACAGCAGGGTCACTATACACAGTATACATGTCCTTAACACATAAAAAGCCCTCAAATGGTCTTACTGTACAGAGGTTTGACTCATTGTTCTGGGAGATCGAACCGTGGGAATAAAAATACAAGACCTGGGTGCCCCATTCACACCCATCTGAGTTGAACCTCTAGTTCTGACCCGCCCTTGCCTGTCAGCTAAGGTAATTGCTGGGTGCCGAGCAACCATAAAAATGTTTCCCATAGTGTCTTAAATGAATGAGACATCTCAGTGCTCATTCATTTAAGACACATGTCTCATTCATTTAAGACACTGTGTTCTTTCAACACCACATCTGATTACCTACCATGCACAGCCGTGGTTGGGTTTAATATCAGTGTACATTCTCATCACACCGCTGTGGCTCGGGCTGCACGTATGGGTGACCAGAAATTAAACCACAGTTGAATCACGAATGTATGATGTGTTGAACCCGATGCACCGCCAACGAAAATATCCCGCTCCTTGGAGACAAAAGGTTTGGCAAGACACCATAATTCAGACGCGGGGACTCGAACCCCGAACTGCTTCACGAGCTAACGAAACCCTCCTCACGATGCGAAGCTGTGTTTCCTAACACCACGTCTGAGTTCCTCACCTTGGTTCAATCCCCAACCACCTCCGACTCCTGCTGCACAGTGACGATATTCAAGCACTCACCGGCACCGGTTGAAAAAAGGGATGGAAGGGAATGCCATTCAGACGCGGGGACTCGAACCCCGAACTGCTTCCAGGGATACATGTTGCGGATCCACCCAAGGACGGAAACCGTGTTACCTTGCACCACGTCTGAGTTACCCTCCTCATACTCAGAGAACCGGTAGACCGAATTGAATTGAGCGCGGCACGAGGCAAAGTCCGAGTGTTCTTTCGTCCGTTCAAAAACGCAGCACAGGAGGTAGTAGGCAGTATTCGGGTATTTCAAAAACTAGGTATGTATGCATATGCACGTCTTCAACCAACAAAGTAGAGTAGAGTATCGCAGAAACTAGTCGCACTGATAATTGGGTACATATAACAACTCCTCAACGCCTCCTACTCAACTCAACACACGGTTCAAGCATATGTTTAATCATGCTTGAAGCTCCCAATCGGCAACCCAAACGCCGCCGCGCGCTCGGCGGCGAGGAGGTCCGAGAGGCCGATGTAGTACGCGATGAGCGCGGTGATGATGCCGAATGCGCCGCCGGCGGTGGTCACCCTAGTGCGCAAGCGAGTGGTGTCAGCGAGCGATTCGTTTGATTCGCTTCGATTCGAGCGAGCGCAAGGAAGGAAGGAATGAAGCGAGGGCAAGGAAGAGGAAGGAAAGGAGGAAGGAAGCAAGGAATGCAGGAATAGAGGAAGGGAGGGGAAAAACTCACGGAACCTTGCCCGTAAACTCGCCCGCGCCGAGGAGCGCAAACGTGATGGCGAGGAAGCCAAAGAGCGCCATGAAGCCGATGGATTTGCGGAGGGAGGCGATGCTGCGTTCAAAAAAAAAATAGCGTCAGCGCGAAGCGGAAGCAGCAGCGAAGCGGGAAGGGGGAGAAGCAAAAAGAAGGAGAAGCCAAATGAAAGAGAAGACAAATGAACGAGAAGTCAAAAGGACGAGAAGCACGCAAGAGAAGGGCAGAATTGCAGAATCCGCCAAGGACCCGGCGGCCCGACGATTCCCCGCGTACCGCCACAAAGCACCGTGTGACCTCCTCCGTTCGAGCGTGCCTGGGCGCGCGCCAACGCCGACCAAAAGGGTGCGAGGAAGGCCCGCCCGGCGCAACGCAGCGCAGAAAGCGCAGCGCCGACGGAGCGCCGAGCAGATGAAGGAAGACAAGGGTAATGAAGAAATGAAAATGAAAACGAAAACGAAATGCGGGGATAATGAAACAAGGGATCTCGTAAGGGGCGCGGGGTAATTTGCAATTCCAAATTCCAATTGCAAATGAAATGCGGGGCAGGGTACTGGTACTCGTCTCGCAGCACCCACCGACGCCGCCGAACCCCCGAGCCTACGCAAGAACCCCGGCGCCGCGCTAGGCACACGCATATCCATCTCCGAGGTCCGCGCAGACCGCACCCGATCCTTGTCGGTGCGTGCGAGCGAAGAAGAGAATGAATTGAATTTGGACGCGCGCGTGACGCGGCGAAAAAACGCTAGTGGCAGAAATGATGGATGGATTGCGCGATGGTGCGGGGTTGTGGGGGCGGTCTGGATGGAGGGTCTGGTCTCGTCCTCCCCAGTGTGTGGGGGAATGGGGAATGTGTGGGGAAGAGGGGTAGTGGGGAAGCGAGAGGGGGTGGTGCAGAATGGGGATGGATGGACAGGAACAGAGAAGACGACAAGGACGGACGGAACAACACGCACAAGAGCAGCACGGTAACGATGAACCACGCAAAGAGGAATATGCCGAGCGCCGAGTGGAGTTCGGCCTCGTCGGTGTACGCGGCGACGATGCCGGTGTTGGGGAGGAGGATGGCGGCGTAGGAGAGCCAGAAGGCGCCGTAGGAGGTGAAGGCGGTCGCGCCAAAGGTGTTGCCGTTGGGGAACTCCCACATGCCCGCGAGGAGCTGCGCGAGGCCGCCGGTGAAGAGGGCCATGCCGACGACGACGTTGGGGTGGTGGATGCCGCGCGCGGAGACGTTGTACAGCGAGAGCATGAACGTCGTCGATGCGAAGCCTTGGGGGTGCTCGTTAGACGACGACAGACGATCTCGACAACGAGGGGACGCGGGGACGCACTGAAAAGACCGAGGGAAGCGGGGTTCCCGAGGCGGCCGGGGACGGGGTGGGTGAGGGCGTTGCCGACGCCGCCGTGGTGGCCTTTTTCGATGTCGCTCATTGCAGTTTATGGAGGGGCCTGTGCGAGGGTGGACGGTGGATGTGGTGGGAGGAGAGGGCTCAGAAAAGAGGGAGGGGGCGGTCAGTCAGCGGGTGACTGGTGTCCATCAGCTTGGTTCGCGCTGGCATTAAAAGATCCACACATCCCCATACAGAAATGTATGAAACGCCAAAAACGCCCCCTCAACGTCCCATCCTGCCATCTCTCCATTCTCGCTTCCCCTACTCGCATTGTGTTCTGTTGCCTTGTCCCTTCTCCTCTGTGTTCTACCACGAAATATGGTTGTAAATTGCATGTTGAAAAAAAAATCCCATAAAGAGGAATGTTCAACCCCGCATAGATGCGGGGTCAGTTGCCGTCCAATAAACCCATCCAGTATTTTTTTCACCTCCACCTCGGGCGCGAATAACAAGTCTACATCGCGCCATTCCGCGTCGAACCATCCGCCACACCGCTACTAGCTGACCCCTAGTCCGTCGCGCTCGCTTGCTTTCCAGTGTCCACGTTCTCTTCATCACCGTGCGTTACCGACAACGCCGTGCCCACGCCGCATTCCATCCATCGCATCCAACCTTGGCAAACCTCCGACGCGAACGCTCCGTAACCAACGGGAATCACAAATCGCACTCAACCCTGAAACAAAGCGGCGTTTACCTCGTCGCTTCCTTGCTTGACAGCATCAACGACGAATTCCGATGGATTCTTCGCGCCGCGCTCGTACGCTTACCCCCAGTGAACGCCGTCGGTCCGTCGGCGTCTTCGCAAGCGCGCAAAATCCACCCTAACTCGCCCTTCAACTGATACATGTAGCTCATTTATTCCACAACTATTTTGGTCGACTGGCTAAATAACCAATTAACCAACCCAAGGTATTCAACCGAGAAGGGCACAAATGACTCGGAATCTCTTCTACTCCTTAAAGTTACTCGTGATTGAATGAAGCAGCTATTGATACCCGCCTCGCGTCGATGGAACTCTCCGAACAAACGTGACCGCGTTGTTGAATTCTTCTGGGACTTCGACGTTGCTTCGACTTCTGCAGCTGCGGCTCGTCATCGATTCGCACGGGGCACCAAGTCCTTCCTCTTCCCCGCACGCGACTCGCGGTCCGATTCCTCGCACGCCCGGAGTCAACCCGGAATTTGAGTTTGCGCTCACACGCTGGGCGCTTTCCTTGAATATATGTACTGGCCACCTCCAATCGTCTCTAGCTTGAAATTCTGCTGATGCCTGCTCGCACCCGCGG